TATTTTACAGTAAAATAGAAATAACAACTTTAATACTTCATGTATATTGCGTATGTATATGGTTCTATGCGGTGTTTCCATTGCTGTTCCTAGGACTGCACTCTTCTGTACAGAAACCTCTGATGCTGTGCCTGGAATCTGCTGAAGCCACTCTTCCCGGTTTGGGGTGGCAGCTCCTCATGCTCCTATTACCATTGAGACCACTTTGGACTTTATCTTAATCTCCTCCAGTTGGTCCTTCAGCCCCTGGTACTCCACGATTTCACTGTGTTTCTGCTTTCTTACTGTTAGCTGTGATTGACACAATTATCACAACTGTGGTCTTCTGGTCCTTGTAAAACAGATCTTGGCTAACAGTGCTTCATTCCCATGGCAATTGTAGATGTTTTTAAATCTTTTACTGTTACTATGTAACGGTTATCGTATATAGTAGTAAAGTAATTAATATTTAAACAATGTCAGGACTGAAATATTATCTTCTGTCATGACTTAAGTTGCTAGTTGATCAAGTTACCGGTAAAATGATTGATCGCAGCCACAGATTCACAGTAAATACCCCAACAAGCTTTAATGCATCTATAATAAATTATTTGCTGATTCCTGTGCATCACTTAAACTGTATGACACCAGTACTGACTCATGCTCAGTGTAAAATTAAATCCTACCTGTCTGAGCAAAGTCTGGCTCCTTTAATCCTGGATGAGAAACTGTGTGTCTGTGCTGAATTTATAATATATGATTTATAAAATCAGGTTTGAGTCAGGCCGCTTTCTGATTGACTCTTTCTCTGTTGAAAAAACAGGTTGGTCTTAATTTCACATGGTAATAATTTGAGTTTTTACAGGTAATATTTAACAAATCAACTAGTGTGTACAGCATCTTTTACAAAAAACCCATAAATAACAACTTATAAATAAAATTACATAATTTTAAGACATAATACCAAGCTCATAATACAGTCCATTACACAGTATGAGGTGCATTATAGAGTTGATTAACAACATATTACTTTGTAATTATGCACTATTCTTGCTTTAATAGTACGTCTGAAACTGACTATTATATTGGCTGTTATAAATGAGGTTTTGATTTGAACTTTGCAACAACGGAAATTCTGATTCTGTAATTCAACATATTTACCTTTTTTCTTCATTTTCAAAATGAAGCAGAACAAGCTTTCACAAACACGTTGATGCCATCAACTCCACTACGCAATTCTACCTGCTTGCTGTTGGGACAAAGAAGAGCACCATCCAAAAAATTTTTTTATTGACCTGGACAAGCAGGTCATACCATGTAAGTCAGTCCCGTCTGCCGTTGGGACATTGACTTCCTGACAGACAGGAAGCAACATATGAGACTAGGGAAGAATGTCTCTGACTCACAAACAATCAGCACCGGCTCCCCTCAGGGTGGTGTTCTTTTTCCTCTGCTCTTCTCCCTATACACCAACTGCTGTACCTCCAACCACCACTCTGTCAGGATATTTAAGTTTACAGATGACCGTTATCGGACTCATCTCGGACGGGGTGAGTCTGCTTACAGGATGGAGGCTGAATGTCTGGTGTCATGGTGCAGGCGTAACAACCTGGTGTACTTCCTGAGTCAGCTGAAGAAATTCAACCTGCCAACACGGACGATGACGCAATTCTACACTGCAATCATCGAGTCCATCCTCACCTCCTCCATTGTGGTGTGGTATGCTGGAGCCACCACCAGGGAAAAACAGAGACTGCAGCATGTTGTGCGCTCTGCTGACAAGGTGATTTGCTGCAGACTCCCATCTCTGCAGGACCTGTACACCTCCAGGACACTGGGGCGCACAACTGACCCTTCTCACCTTGGACACAGTCTGTTTGACCCTCTTCCCTCAGGCAGCATTTGGACCAAAACCTCTCGCCATAAGAACAGTTTCTTCCCCTCTGCTGTTGGACTCATGAACAATAACCATAAGACTGTTCCCACCACTTGCTCTGATTCAAACACATGACCCTGTATTGTGTTCTCTGCACCTGTTGCATCTTTGCATTGATCATCACCTGTTTTCATCTATATAACAATCTGCTTAGCACTTTTTATTTTTATTTAAATGTTTGTCTTAATGTATGTCTCACACAAAGTACCGCAGCAATTTCCTAATTTTGTAAATCTGCTCAACGTGTGGTAATGTGTAGAAGTTACTCTCTAGAAGTTTTCCATGATGTTTATCTGTAGTGAGCTCAGGTTTAGAGACAAACCACATACCAGTACTTGTTTGAAGTAGAATACATATGAAACCACACGGCTTAATTTGAACAGTAACAACATTTATTATGTTCTATGTTAAGAAAATGTCACTCAAACACAAGTTGTTGTTTTCTGCCATCTTTCAGTTGTGACGTGTTTTACAGGTTTTTTCTGATTGCTTAAGCACATTTTTTGTAACTATTGGCTATTTTTGCAAAACTCTACACACAAATAAGAAAACCTGTCACCCAATTATCAAAACATTGTAGTTCTCTTGCAAAAGCGAACACAGCTAGATTACAGTTTTTTCTGAATGCTTAAACCCTAACTGTGATTCTTATAGCACAATTCCTAAAACTATTAATACTTATAGCAAAACCACTCACTGAGTTTGCAAATCTAAAAGCACAAACACTGCTTTGCACTCAGTTTGCAATTTTGTAACACACACTTTGCAAAACTGTAGGCACAATTCACTGCACAACAC